TATGTCATTTTGGTTAAAGGGAATATATATCATAAGTTTGGTATCTTTAATAAGGAAGATACACAGTTTTTAAGGATGAAATGTTTATCACAAAAGAAAACAACAAAAAATATTTCTTGAAAGCAAAATAGAAGATGAAGGGCAAAAGACTTAAGTGATTTCACATCAAGATATAAATGATCATTTGAGAAAAGACCAAGTTTTTCCCAATTCCTTGGGAAGTAGTAACGGGACAGTCAGACACTTTAAAAAAAATCAAAATGAATGAATAAAGGACAGAAATAGAAATAAAATAGAATCCTTGTTGCAGATGTCGAAAAGCCAAACATGTGAAAATAAAACATATAAATAATCAAAAATAATATGAAACATATAGGAAAATAAACCAAGGAATAATAGCCAGTTTTAGAATAGCGTTATTGCCAAATGACAATTCAAATGAGCTACTAATGAGAGCAAAGTACCCCAAACAGAAATCAGTGGAATGGGCTTTCCAAAAATCACACAGCAATACCACTCCCTCTGTCTCATCTACTTGTGTCTGTATCTCCTTTTCAAAATTTGACCTAAACTAAGACTCCACAAATAATTTTCAACTCTTTTGTCAGGAAGAACCACTACAGTGCTTATTTCTCTATTATACTAAACTAACTTATTTAAATGAGAAAAAATAGAGGGCTCGGTAATCCTCCAGTGGCCCAACAGAGCAAACACATTTCTTTAAGAATTGAATTAAGAAAGGAAATTGTACCTTAAGAATGACAAAAAGAAACAAACAAACAAGCAAACAAACAAACAGTATTTATCTTTTAATTTTGATGTATATGTCCTTATATCTTCTAGGTTTTTTTGACAAGAATTTTTAAAATATGTTATTATTGAAAAGGCAGTAACGTGGTCTAATAATCTTTCAATAAAATTCAATAAATATCTATTGAGACATTCACCTGGGAGGGATGTGCTAAGTGGAATACAAAGTCATACGGAAAATGTAAAATCAGGTTTGCCCAGAGACTACTCCTACCAAGCATTAACATATCCATTTATATGCTTTCCCTAAAGAGGAAATGTGGTCTCCTCTTTACTATTACAATAACCCTGAGAAATAGATAGGGTAGGTGTCATTGTCATTCTGAAGAGGATGATACAGAAGCCCTAGAGGGACCATGTGATTTGCTCCAGGATATTTTAAATGGAAAATGAAGTAGTAAATAATCTTATCCAAGCACTTATTAGACTACAAAATCATGGAAAGCCCTGGGATCAGAGGCAAGTCCCTCCATTTTGGCTTCTTGCTCTGTGCCACCCTTATTGCTGCCCTATGAGACAGCACCAAGAACTCAGTAAGCATCTTTGCAAGTTCTTCTGGATACATGGTATACCCCCGCCAGAGAAACTGGCTCAGGAGACAGCAGAAGGGTATTTTACTGACATTCCTTTATATTCAAAATAGAATACTCTTGCACTCACTATTCCTAAGAGCTTTTCCTCATTTAGGTCCTTCCACATGCCAAGCACAATGCTAACCACGTTAGTACATGAACACTGATCCTCACAGCTACCCCGGTGGAAGGAGTGTCGCCATGACACTGACAGAGAGGGCTCAAACAGATGAACTTCACTGCTCAAAACCTAAGTGCCTTTGCTAATAAGTAATGAAGCCAATTGTAAGGCAGTTATTTTATTTCGGCCCCAAACCCTTAGCAGTATTTGTTTATTTGTTTGTTTGAGGGTGGATCTTGAGGCTAGGATAGAATTTGATAGAGTACTAGAAAAAAACAAACAAACAAAAAATTCTACTGAATCTTTAGAACATTTGAGGCAGATTTCTGAAGACTGATGAAAATGGGGTGACCCTAGCTTCTCCCAGGCAACAGTCTCTAAGCCATCTGTATCCCAGCGATATACAGCATTTACACATGAAAACAGTTATGATGGTTAGATAAGTAATTAAATATTTCCATAGTCATTAGTAAATAGCCTCTGCTCCAAACACCCTGAATGTCCTCTGCTTCTATGGCCTCCCCGCCCAGGACCATTCATACTGCCCCTGCATCCAGCAACTAAAGCATTAAAAGTTGGTGCAGCAAGGGTTCCAGAGCCCTGCTCCAGAATGCAGGAGTCCATTCGAATTGGTCAGTCTTCATGACATACCAGGTCTTAAATATTTTGATTATCACTCTTGGGTCCTGTTCCAAGAGCAACACACAGCAATAGGCAGTCCTTTACACCATGATATGCTGATTTGGAAAGGAAACACACTCAGCACTGTGGTCCCACAGGCGTGTTTGCAAAAGTCTGAGGGAATGATTGCTGTGCTCCAAGCACTATCCATGTGTCCCATCTTTTGTGATCCTTCATTAACTCTGGGACTATTAAAAGATTACATGTTTTCTTATATTATTTGGTTCAAGATATTTACAGGCTATATTTATAGCAGTTGCATGCACATGTGGAGTTATTGGTAGAAAAATTCGCTCATCTTATGATCCTGTAAATTTACCTTAGCTAGCTAGAAATCTGAATTTCAGAGAAGATAGAAACTTTATACCCAATTCCCTCATCTTACAGATAATGAAACTAAAAGACAGGTGGACCAAATCACTCAAAGACAATGAATCCCAGTCTTTTTTTTTTCCTCCGTAATACCACAGTACTTAATTTTGAAGTGATTAATTACTAGATTTTTAAGGATAATTAGAATATTAAAAAATAGATTATTGTAATTAAATGTATATAACTATAATATCCTTATAAATAGTTATAATTAGGAAGAAAGTTATCAAGAGAGATACACTTTTTTTGTGTAATATTTGACACAAAATGCATATTATGTTTACATTTATTAATCCATAAGGCCTAACTATAAAATATAAGTACCTGATAAACATTTACTATTTTAGAACTTGTTTCTTTTCTATAAAGTAATTATGTAAATAATATTTTTCCTTAGCCTTCCTATGAAAATGAATATTAATGGGAATATTTCTAACCCTTTTAATACTAAATCATATATTTTCTAGATTTGAAATACCAGAAGATGGTATTTCAGCTCTCATACTCTGTCATTCAGGACTTTGGGAAGGTACTCGAAAAAGTAAAGAAGAGGTAAAAGAGAGGCAGGGAGGGGTAGCAAGAGGAAGAGTCATTCCAAGATGACAGAATTTAACTAACTCCTAACTTTCTATAAAACAGCTTGCATAAAATTCCACCAAATTTATTAGAGGAGCATAATTGTTGGTTTGAATATACTAAAACAGAACAAATTAGTTTACTGTTTTCAAGTATCTTCATAAAACTTTTGTTTACTCTCTATAAAGACCAGAGCTTGTATCTTTTAACAATAAATAAATAAATAAATAAAATATCAATGAAGAATTCAAGATGTTTACATATTTGTTCTTTTGATATAATTCTCCACATTTTGATTGGTACGTAAACCAATTTTTTAAAATGACCAAATATGTAGGGACATAAAGCAATTCGATAACATTGCTTTGTATTTTCCTTGCAGTGACAATCTGTATATATTTTGATAAACGGATACAACTTCACGCAGTAAATAGCTCAGTGTATTGTGGTGAATTCCTGTGCAATTATAGAATTTTGCTGGAATGGCCGGTGTGGTCTCTAGATAAATTCCTTCACCCTCTATGGTAACAACTTGTCAGGTAGACTCATTTCCTGTTTTTATCTAAGCACTAAAAGAACATGAACAAGCTTCATGAGTTTAGGACAAGTCACAGTGTGATCCATTTCTTACTATTAGTAATTTTTAAGCATAAAAGATAACTTCAATACGCATTTTCTTACCCGAATTTTGCTTACTCCAAGATACACTTTGGCTCAATAAGCAGTTAATAGCAGACAATAACTGAATACCAAAATCATGTTATTTTTATACATATATTAATTACTCTTACTTTAAAGAGTTTGGGTTTAATTCTACTAGAATTTCCTGTGTTCTTCCACACCAGCGTCATAGGAAATCCCAATGTTCTCAAGATTTCTTTCATTTCATTGCACCTGCTTTTCAGGATCAACAAGTTAGTTTACAAGCTTGAGGTCTCAAATTCAAAATACTTACTTGTGGGTGAAATAAGAATCCTGGAGAAGGTCTCAAGTATTTCTCTTTTAAAGCTTCAAGTGGGTCAGTTAGTTTTCTTTTTTCTACTCTGAAAGGTTAAAATTAGATTTTGGAGATGAATCAGTCTCATATATCAATTACTACATAATCACTGACATTTAAAACAGCTAACAATAAAGCAAATGGTAGGTTTCTGGGAAGCATACTAATAAAAATATAAAGACATCTGTTCAGTTCTTGAAGAATATTCATTGCATTTCTGGGCGCTCAATGAAAGAAGGTCCTATTTACAACAGAAAAATTCTATTGAATGACTATTATAATGAGGAAATATAAAAAATGAAGAGTCATGAAATCAGAGGCATTGGTGACAAATTTGTAACTTTCCACTTCAAACGTAGACAACAATGTTTGGTGATTTTGAAATCATAAGAACAGAGTTCGTTTTGAAAATTTAAGTCATTTTCTACCAAGAAGGTGCTCCCCAAAATATTTATTATATTTCTTCCACATGTGCCGAAAACAGCAGGAGGGTTTATAAGCATTACCGTACATCCTGCTAGCTAGCCACTCTTTGAAGTATAAGTATCTTCTTTTGAATGCCACTGCAGATGAACAGGACAGGTGAAATGGGGGTGGTGAGAAGAAAAAAAGAAACCTTTCGAAGATAGGGAGAGACGTATAAAACTTATCTATATATCCCTTCTGCTTTAGAAATGTTTGTCATTTTATTTCCTATTGAAAACTGTTGAATAAGTACACTTTTAAAATAGAATAAAAATAAATTAAAAATAGCTACCACTCTTGAAATTTTATATATGCTATGTTTTGCATATACTATTTCACTTATTGAAATGGGTGCTCTTATATCCATTTTATGGATAGAAAAAAAATGTTAAGACATGGGAAAGATGAGACTTCAACCTAGGTCTTACACTAAAACTGGGGTTTAGGTCATTCATGAGTTTGGTAAAATGAACTAGGGTCTTAATTGAGACTGAAATACCAAGAAGACTGAGATTAGAATAAACAAGAGGAAGATTAGGAAGTGGTGAAGAAGAAAGAATGCAATGGGTATTTGGAGGAATCAGAAGGCTATTGGCATTTGGGAGTGTCTAAGAAAGAAACTCTGAGAAATGATCTTCACAAAGGACTAAGACATATCACTGAGTTGAATACAACTCTACTGACAATGTGTAACATATAATCTACATACAATACATGGATGATGTTTTGCCTTTTTCTCCCTTCTTTAGTAATGGGACTGCCACAGGAATTAATATGTAATAATTGAAAAAAAAAAAAAAGTCTCCAAGCGTGGTACTGATGGCTCTGAGATATTTTTGATTGTTCTTTTTTAATTCCCCTTGTCATATTCAAGGGTGAATATTCCTTAACATATTGGCAATGTTTCTCGGTCAATGTGTTGTAGATAATATAAGTAGAAAAAGAATTTTAAGTACAAAAAGGTTTGCCCCTCTAGTACCTATTAAGCAATAGGAACTCAATAAATATTGTTGAACAAAAGAATAGCACAAAATCAGTTCTTCATAAAAGAGAATTAGGCAAAAATATGCAAAACACTTGCATCTTAAATAAGTCCAATAAAAAATTATCTACATCTTCCATTAACTCTTGATGATGTTCAAGATTTGAATGAGAAATTAAATGTGAAAATGCTTAGTAATATTTCAAATATATAATAAGTATAATTATTATTATTCATACTTTTTTTAAAAAAAAAACTAGTATTTAAAAACTAAATCATCCTGAACAGTCAAGTGAGTGTTGCAGTATACTGCCTAACAGGTTTTTTATTAAGCATGTATGGACCCCCCCAAAGAATTTTTGGATGCATCAAAGGAAACTGGCATTAAACAGGGACATGATTTTTAAGCTGACCATTCACATTATATACAAAACACTTTTGTGATTAATATTTCATTTCTTTTGGGTTCCTAACAGATTTATTTAGAAAGTACTTATTAAAGATGTGTTGGTAGGTTAACAAAAAGTAAACTCTTGCTGTTCTATGCCCCATCTCATTCCAAACAAGCTGACCCATTTAAGTACCCACACATATTTGCATTAATCCTTCAGAAGCCTCATTCTTTCGCCACTTGACAACTTGCTTTAAATATGGCTTTCCCATATTTTCCACTTAAAAAAAAAAAGTGTTTAAAAATAAATTTATTGTCAAGGGAAAGAACTCTGTGGGCCTAGTCCAAAACCCCAAATTCAGAGTCATCCAAAAATAAGTTCAAAATTAATGAGTCAACTTTCTGAATAAAAAATGAATTTACTAGATCAAACAACTTTACCCTTTGTTTTATAATTAAAATGGTTTGTTAAAAGCTGTAACTTTATAGTGTGAACACTACCTTTCACACACATATCCACATTTAATTGTCTCCCATCTACCCTTACCTGTAAATAGGGTCCATAAAGAAAGGAGTGGGTCTAGCATGCTGCAAGGAACCATCTGATGCCGGTCTTGGTTCAAGGTTGCTTCCTTTCTTTTCCCCAAATACGTGGTTTTTTCGAGGCTCAGTAAGCTTTGTCCCACTGGCTCTACTCCTACTGCCCATACTTAGATCCAGGGGCTGGTCTTGACTTGTGGCAGGAGTGGCTGGAGGCTTGGAGGGTACTGGAGTCAAGGGTTTCTCATCCTTTCGCTTAGTGGTGAGATCAAAGGGAGACTCAGAGCTTCCCTTCTGCAGTTTCTTTACTTCACTTGGTGATTGGGGTTCCATTTTCAAAGGTAACGACCTCAAGTCTCTATCAGGAAATGGGTACATTGATTGAGAGAATGCTGGAAAAAACGGGAGGGGAAACATGGAAGGGTAAGGTAAAGCTCCAACTTTTTTGTCTTGCAGCCCCACCAGTCCTGTTGAACCAAAGTATTTTTCAGCAATAGAAGCAATAGCCTTTATAGAATCATTCACAGCTCCTGACACCGCAGTTTGCTCCTCTAAAGATGGTGAGAAAATGGAATGATTGCTGTATTCTTTCTTATTATGTATTGAAGCCAGATTCTGAAGAGGGCTTACTTTGTCTTTGAACATTTTACCATTTTCTTTAAATTTTTCTTTATCACTTTCAATGTCACTTTCCAGATCAGAGCCCGAGGTTGTTTCCAGGTCACTGCCACTTGGCGTACTGACATCATCAAGGTCACTACTCTCTGACTGGTCACTGATTTTCTCAAGGGGCCTCTCTTCAGAGGACCTCTCGGGCTGGAGCTCCACTGGCTTATTGTCCCCTACAGGTGGGTGTTTAGATAGTGCCTTCAAAATATCTTGTGTAGCTGGCAGTATCTGAGGATGTGTCATGAGGGGACTTTGACTTTTGTTTGTCTGTTCAGTACTTGATAGTCCTTTAACAGGAGAACTAGCAGGTATCAAAGGAGGCCTATGGTACAAGCCGGAAGGAAACAGACCAGGGAAGCTAAAAGAAAATCCAGGAGCTGTTGGAAAGGTAAGACCAGCAGGATGCCTATTGGCACCAAAATAGTCAGCAAGGCCCGGGTTGGCATGACTCATATTAACCATGGACGTTTTATCCATAGCTGGGGTTCCAGGAAGTGAAATGCCTTGGCCAAAAAATCCACCTGCCGCAAAATGGTTCTTGCCCTCACAAAACCTCCTGTGTTTATTTAAGGAAGACGTAGTGCTGAACATTTGTCCACAGTCTTTGCACTTGATTTGGGTTCTGCAATCAGCATGCATGCGCTTATGACGACAAAGGTTTGAAAACTGAGTATAGGATTTATGGCAGACCTCACCTGTGTGCAAACAACAAAAAAGAATCTCAGGCTTTATGGCAATTGCTTCTGAATTTAGCAAGTATCACAATTGGTTTACCCAAAATTTCAATTAGGAAGCCAGGAAAAGATGTTGGAGGCATCAATCTGGGTGCTCCAAACACAGAAAACCCCATTTCACTAGATTCCAAAGCAAGGCATCCAACCTGACAAATGTCTTGAGGCAGCACAAATATTTTATCATTCCCACTGAATAATATTTAGCATCATATTTTTGTCTTTAAATATTTATGAAAAAAATCACATTCCAGCATGCATTGATTTCCCACCCAACTGCTACACTAACAAAACCTTTAAAATTAAAGTCTTAAGATGTCCAAACATGAAACATAACAGGAACCCCTTTAAAATTTTAGACCACTTTAAAAATTCTATGTTGTAAGCACCGGAACAAAATAAAACAGCCTTTCGCTCGGCCAGAAATTTCACCTTGATTCCCTCTCCCTGTGGGGAAAAAGCCTGCAACTGTTCTACCATTATTTAATTTGTATTATATCATATGCTCTCATCATTCACACATCAAAGCCATACAACAATGCACATTGTGTATTCTGAGACATTTTTAACAATCATTTTCATGATTTGAGAAAGACTGACATAATTTACAATGGCTCTATTTTAAGCCTGCAAAGGAAACTAAATTGAATGTAGCCCATCCTGCATTGCTGGTTCCCATGAACTATGATCACGTCCTCTGACTTCCCCTCACACCAGTGGTTGTGTTAACCTTCCTGCATTTATGAAACCCCCGTCCTTGGGAAACATGTCCACTTGTTGTCATATCTTCGCCAGTTATCTCAGGGCTCGACTTCTATAGCCAACTATGGTAAAGCAGGGGAGAGTGCTGTGCACGCTCTAATCCAGAAGGAACACAGACAGCAGTGGGTGCGGCTGGGAAATAACTCTCTTCACCGAGAATTGCCAAAAAAGTAGAACATCTTCCTCTGCGCGTATGTGCAAACAGATCTAAATATATTTTAAGGCCAAACTATATAGCCCTTAAGAACTCTTTTGCTAGGTAAGAATCCCACTCACTTCACAGTCCAGCAGGATTATAGGATCTGTTTCTTAAGCATCACATTTTTTATTTTACTTTTGTAACAATGAGCCCACTTTATGTGTGAGCTTAATTTAATGTTCCTATGCACGTTTAATACATACAGAAACATGATACACCTTTGGTAATTGTTGAAATAAATTTATATAAGAAATTCAATGAAGACAAAATACAACATTTATTGCTTTCATGTGACGACGGCTTTTAAGCAGAGAATGGCTGAGCTCCCGAGTCAAAGCAATAATAATTAAAAAAAAGAAAACTCATTCAAAAGAGATTTTATAAGATTTTTAGTCATGCAAAACTCACCCAGAACTTGGATTATCCCATACACTACCAAAAAGGAAGGACCAAATGATTCCATATCTATTATTCCATATTTATTTATTTTACTACTAACGATTAAAATGCATTACTACATACATTAGTGTGCCTAGTAACATTAAAGGAGCTTTCAGTTGTGGGATGATTCATAACACTGTAGTGGCTATAACATGCGTTTTAACAGGAAAAGAATATGTGAGTGGTTTCTTTTCAAATCATTCAACTGGAATATATTGACCAGAGTCTGCTTTAAAAGTATATACTAGTTAATCATATACAATACACAATATACTATAAATTCTTTGATACTAATTAAAACCATATGATGTAGAGGGTAGAAACATGAGACTTTCACTAGTTACACTAATTCAGCTATGAGCAATAACGAGAAATAGTAAATAAAATGTTGGAATTATAAAAGTGCACTCATTAAGAAAGTGACACCTCCCTCTGGGCATTAAAACGGCATTAAGAAAATGTCTTGATGGGTATTCAAGCAAGGTTTAAGTTTTTGAAGAGTTTGTAACTTTTGGCAAGAAAACGTTGCCCTCTACACTTCTTTCTTACAGCTGGATGGATTTAAGAAAACCAAGAGCTTCTCTATATCGGAATAGCAGAAAGTGCATTTGACTTGTCCTGGTTGTACCCTCTGTTACATGGATAAGTGGTATCTGTGTCAGATTTCACGAACATAGAATCTGGGATGTTTCCTTAGTCAGAGGCTTTGTTTTTCTCACTTGAAGGCCTCGCCTGGCCCACCACAAACCACCAGGCCTCCAGGTAAACGGCCGAATTAATGTTGAAGTCTATACTCTACTGTAATTTTCTCAGTAATAAGGAATTAGGCAGCAGTTAACGTTGCATTTTTTTACTTATTAAACAAATTAAGAGGTATTTTGAATATATTCAGCTTATTAGAGCATGTGGTTTCTATTTGGGAAGGCTGGAGGTTTCTGTAAAGGCAGTGAGTAATTACCTTCGTGCTGGTGACTTTAGGCTCAAGCTTGGCGGTACACTGTAATAAGAGACAGTTGCCATAAACACACCAGTGGGGGTAAATCGTGGTGTGTGGCCTTCTGGTGAGAAACAGATATCAACTCTAGGTGAACCTCCTCCACTCCAAAGTCTCCATACCAACTCCTCTTTTGTTCTGAAATTACATGGCTATTATTTGTAATTACCCCATGGTTCTCTGTCAGATTTATATTTGAAGAATGCCATCTGCTATTTAAATTTACCAATAATTACTGAAAATACATTCATGAGAAATAGTTTGTGCAATCTGATTGGAAAGGGACACTCCATGGCACTTTAAAGTGAAACACTTGACTTCGGTACAATTAAAATTCCAAATCCCGGAATCTTAAACGATATAATCTATATTCTCCGACTTTTATTTTAAATTACAGAGAAGGCATTAAATGGGTGTTCCTAATTCATCGTAGTCTATTCCACTCTTTTTTTCCCACCAAAATGTAACACATTTATTAAAATATATTTCTGAAAAAATCAGAAATAAATGAATTACTTATGCCTGTAGCACTTATAAGTACATTTGGAGGATATTACAAACTAGAGTTAGGAATGCTATTTTGAGACAAGAAGTCTAAGATGTCTATTGTATACTTTATTTCTTGACTTTCACCAGAGCTTTCCCAAGGGAGGCTAGAGCACCCTTTTAACTATCTGCTAGTCCTCTTTACTCCACCCAGGGAACAGAAGGATGTGTGAGCACAAGACCCTAGTGTAAGCTAGAAAGGAAAAGGAAAGCTCTCCCAGTGCTTGGAAGCACAAAAGAGAAGAGGGCTGTGGTGAGGCAAAAAGGAGGAGGGCTAGTCTCTGGCATCTCCGTGTTGGCGCTGAAAATTAGTTTTTTTTCCATTAGGTCCCGTAGTAATGTCTCATATACCTACTACAAACCATCAAGTATTTGTCAGAACGACTGGTTTGCAAGAGTTCCCAAGTCAGAGGTCTTGCCAACTACTGAGTATGCTTCAACCGGTTCTTTCCTTATCTGGATCCAAAATCAGTCTTGAAGTTTGTAGTCCAGCTCGGTGAGTCACTGAGTTTATATGCCCAGCCGAGCAATGGATCAAAAGTCCAGAGTCATCGCCCAGACAGAATAACAACAATGGATTCTCCTATGAAATATTTCAGCACAGAACAGAGGACAGGACTGGGAGGACAGAAGAAGAAGCAAATGAGGGTTTTGTTTTACTTTATTTGAAATGTGTTACTAAAGTGCTCTGTACAGAGATGTTCTAAGTAGGTGGTCAGATTGGATGTCCCCTGAAAACACACAAACACACTGCCAGTAAATTTGCTTTAGTGCCGTGAGTTACAGAAGCAGCGTGTCCAGCATCAAAGTGAAAATGCTCTGCTTTTCAAGTAACTGAGAACTGCTGATCCTCAGCCGGCGATCGGCAACAACGGATAGATTAAAGGACACTTTATTCCTCTTTCTCTCTCCCCACACACACACTCACGCACACAGTCATAAGCCTACTTGCCAGGTGGGGTTCTTCCGGCTCTTTCTGATCCAGAACAGGTTTTTATCACTTCATCTTGGTTAGTGGTATCTGCTATTTGCTGTTTTACAAAGCCATGAACGTGTTCAGTGCAAGACAAATCTGGTTGTCTCTATTAAATCCTACAACCTGGGGAGGCCTCCCTTTCATTATTTAACGACTTCTCTTTCCTCTACCTGTTACTGATTCCATCTAAAAGAAAACACCCCAGGGATTATAGACAAAATACCATGGATCTGGTTATAAAAGATTTCTGGTACTAGAAAATAGCCCTACTGGATGGGACCATAAATAGCTAATGCAGGGACCCCTCTAATGGCTATGTGGGGCCACTCTCCTGGTCACAGTGCCTTTTGGATGAGAGACAGATGCAGGAAGGAGGGCTGGAGTTTTAAAAACTTACAGATAAAGGGCTTCACACTGCTGTGGATGTGCTTGTGTTGTTTGAGGCCCGACGAAGTGGCAAACGTTTTGCCACACTCCGGGCATGCGTGGGCCCGGGCACCAACGTGCTGAGAGCGAATGTGCCGCTGAAGGTTGCTAGGGTCCGTGAAAACCTGCTAGGAAATGAGTACTGATTAATCAAGAAACTTAATTCAAGGCCACAATAAAGAAGACCAGGAATGACTCAACAAGGAATTTTGTTTTCGTGTTTTGTTTTTGATTATCTGTCTTCCCCAAAGACCAAAAGGAAGTCATATTTCCAAAGTGCGAGCCCCTGGAGGGTAAGGACTGTAAATCTTTTGGCTCTATATCTACAGCACAAAGTGTCCATGGGTATCAGCTGAACAAAATAGTTAATGACATTATTAAACCCTATTCAAAGCCTTTTTGATCCTATTTAGAGTGATTGCCGTTGAATAATAAAATGCTGGCCATGACATGATTAAAACTGGTGAACTATTTCCATCCTTTGAAGAACACACTATGTGTAAAATTGGGGAGATTTTCACTAAAGTATCTCAAATCTATTCAAGGAGTTCCCCTACAGGTTAATTTCTAACACTGTGCTTCAGTAAGTCACCATTAAGCTAAAATCATTTTTGGACACTTTACTAAAAAAGAATAGATGGAAAGAAGGAAGGGAAGAAGGAGGGAAGGAAGGAAGGAAGGAAGGAAGGAAGGAAGGAAGGAAGAAAAGCCACCCGTACATCTGGAAACAAAACAACTCTAAAGATAATTTCAAAGGTCACAATTTCTACTGGCATTTGAAAAGACATTCAAATGCTATGAAAAGTTTTGGAAATTGAAATCAACTTTCATGACACCAGGACATCTTTAAGTTAATTGAGACATATGAAAATTAAAAAACGTGAATTATTGTTTCTGTAATGGTCAAGGTGAAGTGCATTCATTTCACCCTTATGTTGTTTTGCACTGGTCACTAAGGGACTATACTTTTAATTGGAATTAAATCATGATTTATGTTGAGGACTTGGGTGGAAAAATCTGCACATGTAGGAGTCTCCCATTCTTTCCGAATAGGCATTCAGAAACTTTATGTGACTTCCTCACAAACTGCTATTAAAAGAAATCAGTAACATGCATTGGATAAAATTTTCATTCTCCATAAGGCTATAAAACAACTCTATGCTGGCAAGCCAGTAGCGGAACCAGGAATTTACCAAGGATGTCTGACACCTAGTTCTGGAACTCACCATTAAGCCTCACTTCCTCCCTTACAAAAATAAAAGGATACCCACTAAGTGTTTTTATTCACTGCACTAATGCCTTTTAGCATACAACACTTAGTCTACTTTTCTCAAGATATTTATAGTTTCCCCTCTCAAAGCTTGTTTTTATATATCGTAGCAAATGATAGATTAAGAGAGAGCAGGATGACGGAGAGGCCAAGTAGTCTACAAATTCACTGTACCTTGGCACAATTTTCACATTCATAGTGCTTTCCACTGTCATGTGACATCTGGTGGCGAATTAAGTTGGACTTCCAGTTAAATGCCTTGGGACACTGATCGCACTTGTATTCCCTCTCTTCAGTATGTGACAACATGTGTTTCTCCAGGCTGTTAAGAGAACAATTAATCTAATAAGACATGGTGACAAAGAACACATTCATAAACAGAATGTCATTTTATTACTAATCTAACTGGCAATTTAAGAAATAAGAAGAGAAAGTTGTTGAGGTGAGGAGGAGGAAAGAGAAGAAACAGGCTTGCAACAGACAAAAGTACATTTTATGTTTCTAGATTGCGTCTCTCACTAATGCAGAGAAGTACTCCTGTTGTTAAAAAGTAAATCTGATACTGTTAGCAGGGATCAACTGCCAATTTAGGGGCGTGATAAACAACTAGCTATTTGTCCAGTTTTGGATTCACTACATAATACTAAGAGTAACACATATTGCTAATATCTAAGTCAATAACAAACACACAAACAGAAAATGTTAAGAAAATGCTTGATAACATTCAAGCAGGTAGTCTATCTAATGTACACAAACTCTAGATTCAAAGAAGTATTTTGTTTTTACCTATGTCACCAGATGGGTAAACTCTAAGCTACCTATTCACTTAAAGTGAACTATAAGCTAACTATTCAACAAACAACTTCTCTATATAACCCTGGGATGGATGAATGGACAGGCAGATGGACTGACAGATGGATATGTATGTGTATAGATACAGAAGTAGATAGAGATAGAAATATTTTCATATATAGAATATATATTACCTATGTCACCAGATGGGTAAACTCTAAGCTACCTATTCACTTAAAGTGAACTATAAGCTAACTATTCAACAAACAACTTCTCTATATAACCCTGGGATGGATGAATGGACAGGCAGATGGACTGACAGATGGATATGTATGTGTATAGATACAGAAGTAGATAGAGATAGAAATATTTTCATATATAGAATATATATATATATATGGATGCACTCTTAAAGCTCCTCAAAAAAATTGTTAGAAGTTTGTCACAAGCATAATTTCTCCATTTTAAAGCTTAGAATACTTTTCCTTCTCAAATATTTCCTTCCCTTTTCTAAAAATGGTATGTGAAATCTGCATGAATATAATCAAAACCAAATATTATAGATAATGGATTACTGTGATATTCAGAAGGTGTTTGAAATGTTTTTATTAATTAAAGACACACACACACACACACACACACACATACACACACACACACACACACATACTAGGATACTAACTCCACATAAAGTAACCAGAGCTTCTTGGAGAAATAGCCTGTTTCAGATTTGAACAAGAAAATATATAAGATATGCCTGGAATATCTTGTTATGGCAAAAAGCAAGAAAGCTATCGATCATGTCAAAAGAATTGGGGTACCAACTTGAAGAGAGACCCATGAACCAAAGATGGGGAAATTTAAGTATCAATAAAAATAATAATCTCATCTTTTGACAATAACAATATTCAAAAGTACACGAATAGAACCTCACTGGTCACCTTTGAAAGATGCTGAGAAGCCAAATTGTTATTCTGAAAACTAGTAAATAAAAGAAAAAACTCATCCACATGACCTGCCCCTCCTATATAAACTGTACCTCTGGGTGAGTAAATAAACAATGAGGAAAATTTTCTCTGCATGGAATTAATCCAGATAATAAATAATGAAAGGATGATAGAAGTAGAATATGTTCATTTTGCAGCCCCTGAAGACTTAATGAAGTAGGCAATCCATTATGTGCCTCTTGATGGAAATAAATAATACCATCAATGAGGTATTCTTTACAAAACTTTGAACCTAAATGTGATCAAGGCTTGGGATATAACTTTGAGTTTACAGGAAATAGAGGGCTGGAGAAAGATGTTAAACAACACCAAGGGGATATAATCAGCAGAATTCAGACTGGAGGAAATGCTACAGGAAAAGCAACTCAATTTCTTCTATAAATACATTATGAGAGAGAGACAGACAGAGAAAGAATAAATGAGAGAGAGGATGAGCGTGAAAGAGAAACAAACTTACTGACTTTGAGGGAACTTATAAATTGAAAGAAGTATGAGATTTGTCAACCTACTTCAGTGATGGACCTTATTTTGATCTTAATCCAAGCAAACACTCCGAAAATTATGAAATATTGGGGGGATATGAACACTGGCCAAATATTTAATAAAATTAAGGAAATATTATTCTTAAGGTATATGTCAAACTTATGTTTTAAAGAGTCCTTACTTTCTACAGATACATAATGAACTATTTATGAATAAAATGATATATGTCCAGGATTTGTTTCAAACAATCCAAAATGCATATAGCTAAGATAAGATTGGCCTTGTCTGATAATTATTGAAGCTGAGTATATGGTGGTTTATTACACAGTCCTCTCTAGTTTTGTGTATATTTGAAATTTTCATAATAAAAAGTTACTTTAAAAAAATCTACCAAGCATGGAAGCACTCTTTCTCGTCCATATTTTATTTCTCTGTAAGATGAATACTCTAAATTTGAATATCAAGTAAGACCTCTGTGCACCCAGAATATATTAACCAGCGTTTGCATAGAATACGTGCACGGGAGTGTGTGAAAAAATGAAATGCCCTTTCCCATATCGTGATAAATTAGAAATATCTTTCCCATATTTTTTCTCTTCCTCAGCTTCCTCCCTACAATTCTATTCACATTGGCACATGAACTTATTTTTCCTGCCCCATGAGTCAGTCGAGTTGTTAATGCTATTCTATTTGAGGACAACTGGCGATATCTCTGCGAACAAAAGGTACCAAGAGAGTACAGGTGCGTGGAGTTACAAGAAAGGCCCTATCTTTATCTACACAATGTAATCCTCTGTTAGTTACACAAGTTGAAAGGTTAATAAGAGAGTTAAGAGCGAGATATCAACTGCAGGTAACACTGAATTGATTTAGGGGCGTTTTCCAATATCACTGTACAGATTGCGAGACTGTCATCCTTAACAACCCATGAAGGCATGCCATTTTATAACATATATTATATTTCGATATGTATGTCAAATCATAAGCTCTGAAATTCAGTGGTAAAAAATTGGCCTATACACTGAGTCTTATTCCTGTCGTCTAACTCTAAGGGTATGATATAGCTTTAAGAGAACACTAATTGGCTGATAGGGGGGAAACAAGATAGCAAAGCAACGAGAATTTTTCTTTGCTTCTTATCTAGCATAAAATCCACGTTGTTCCATGGAATTATTAGTTATCAAATAATCAGTGACAAAAAGAATTAAAGGTGACCGGTTCTCACAAAAACAAATGTACATTGTTTTCATAAACACAGAAGAAATCCAGTCAGTCATTACTGAGAATTCACTTTTTATAGAATTTTATCCCAATTTATAAAGCTTTGCTTAGTCTTCCGGGTTCTTTCTATCTTTTGCGTATCAACTTTTGTGTTGTTTTTTTTTGCCCTTTTATTCGTCAAGAGGAGTGTTCTTTTCTCAACATTTTACATAAAAGATACAGAACAGAATAAAGTATATCATGTCAAGAAAGAATTTTTCATTTGTTTGAAGTATAAAGTCACAATATAGAATTCAATAAAGTGGAAACTATTCTGAGAATGTAGGTTCTGCACATAGCTAAATTATATAACCATTTGGATGCTCAACATCAGGTTTTATAGTGACATGCTATATCCATTCATCTGACTGAGCCACCAAAAAGCAAATTTTGAGGGTTCATCCAATGCCAGATAGTTAGGTTTCCTTATTGTCTTCCACTAAATGTTTGGCTGAAGGAACTAAACCAACAGTCGGTTTTGGCATTAAGTGGAGTTGACTCAGGCTTAATCTTACAGCTAGTCAGAATAAGAAGCTTTCTGCACCTCACAAGTGCTGCTATACACTTCTAGTAGGAAGTAAGAATTACATTTTAGTGTTTAGTCTGTCAATTTTTGTTTTACAATGCTGTCCTTTATTTTTGATAACAGAATTGAAGGAAATATACTTAATCCTGAACATCAGAGATAGTGCTTTACAATATAAATACTTATTTAACCCATTAGAATTTATTATTTTTAGTTTATTTTTTAATTTGGACACAATTATATTGAAAAGACATGCTGTGACACTTTTTTTTAAATTACAAAAACATGTTTTACCAAACATAGACAACACATTCACTCTCTATATGAGTTTATGTAAAGCAATAAAGATGAATTTAAAGTTCTCTTATTCCCCCAAACGTTTTCTCTCTAATAGCTAAATTAGGCCTGAATTTTTAAAGCTAGAGTTTCATTCTTTTGACTCAAGCTCTGCAAGAAATGAATTATACTTGATGCCTTTTTAGTCATTTGTACATTGAAATGAATGACTGTTATATGAAATCCTTTCCTATTAGAGGCCTCCCCAGAGAAGAGGATGCAGGGCAATCAACAGAGGTAAATAGGAGAGAGAAGAAGGTAAGGCAATAAGGAAAGAAAAGACACAAAATGGAAAACTGAAATAGGTGGAGTGTCCAAGATAAACTGTGAGTAACTCATACTCTTGAATAAGTCCAATTAATATACCACCATACTCATTTAAATACAATGATGTTATGTTCACTTGAAATTCTGATTATGGGTTCCAAGGACCGTTTCTGCACTTAAAAGTAAAAGAATGAATACAATTATTAAAACTGTTTGTGGACCAAGGCAAAATCCATTAGGTAGAAACAAACAAAAAACCTATTAGCTGGTTATATACATCCCCCATCTGAGAAACCATTTTGTAGTATAATTATCCGTTTGGTTTTCAGCGGGTGGGCTCCAGGATTGCCGTTTTCTTTAATAGAAATAAAAAAATGTTCTTGAATTAATTTCAAAGGGCTATAAAAAGTTTACATATGACTGAAATATGATTTTCATTGTGCTAAAAATAAATATTAAAGATTTTTTTCATTGAGATAATGTTCGTCTTTTCCCTTTTAAGAAATTCAACTTTTTCTTCACTGAGCATGATTTTCTTTTTCTTTTATATTTATGCAGTTTAAATAGTTGAAATTAAATCCACGGGTTACACTGATCTATCAAAAGACCATCTATCTTTCATTAACAGTACCAGAAGCGATTTATCTTTTCTTTTCTTTTTTAATCATCTAAATGTTTCTAAAGGCAGTTTTATTGTTTGGCATAAAATTACTTTAATTAGTATCACTGTTGTTCCGGCAGTCTTGATTCTTCCTTTAAGTCATATTTTACTGCAGTGTTAAGCTTTCAGTTGCCAATAACACTGCTTAAATAAAAATAAACATTATTTTGTATCTGGCATCAAAATAACCAATTCCAACTTCATTGTAAATATTTCACAGATGAGAATTTCCCAAGAAAAATGATTTCCGAACATGTTACTAACACACTTGTCCAGCTCATTGCAGTTCCAAATTTCCCATCTACATAAATTCTGAAAATTCAGCATAACGACATTTTATTGCAGAGTAAATAAACATGTTTTGTAGTGCAGCATGCCATTTCTAACCTTTGCAAATCGGGAAAAACTTGGTCACATTCCTTACACTCCTGGATTGCATGTATCTCTCGGAGATCATTTTCACTTTCGAGTTTTTGTTGAAAGTCTTCTTCCACCATTGAAAATGCTGAATGAGGGGTACTGCACGGGAACTTCTGGTGATCTGCTAGTTCAGCCTTGGACTCAAAGAGCTGATCACAGTCCTCACAGCGATATTGCCGTTCTTCTGTGAAAATAATTCAGGTGTTACTAGGACCAGGAGATCAGGAAGTGCCACCACAAATCAGCAGGTATTACTGAATTATGGAAGACATAATAGAAATTATTTGGTCGTACTTTCTATCACTTCGATTTTAACATATGTTAAAAATCATATATGTAAAGAAGCCAGGATGAAGCCTAGAACAATAATATAAGTGATTACTGTGTCTACGGTATAGACTTCTTATCAGATGAACTTTATGACTAACCCCTTCTAGGATTTAACATATTCACTGGATATTAAAAGTAGTAATGACCACTTACTGAGAGCATCTATTTCTCTAACCCTATACATGGATTTTTGATATTCCTTAAAACCGAATTATGAGGAATCAACTTTTTATCCCAATTTTCAGATGACAGTATTGAAGCTCAGAAAAGTCCAGTAACCAGTTAGGAATTATAGAGCTAAGTGGTTGTTCCAGGATTTGAACCCATCTTTGTCTCATACACTTCCCACTGTGCCACGTTACCTGGGAGATACATGGGATACACAGTCCCCTATCTGAGCCATGCTTAAGCCTGGTTAATGTCAGAAAACTTGAAATGCTTCATTATATTCAACATTACTTATAATGGGACATGCAATGTTTATAGCACTCCTTTCAGCTAATTTATGTTACCTGAGGGTCAGTGCTAATTGGCAAGGCTTTGTTAAATAGCAAATACATCATGAATTAGCACTTTAAATCAGTAAGATAAAGAGTAGTACTGGGGACTAGAGATAACAAGGTTCTTAAGTATCAGGTAGTGATGGTATTGTTTCTATTCTTTCCATTTGAATAGCTTCGAGCCCACTCACAAGGCCATATTGTGCACTGATCACAGGACACAATCACAGAAGTCTTGAAAATGGCTTGTGATGCTAAAAGACACCCAAAGCAACAACATGAGATATAATTCCTGTTTTATAGACCTACAGCCAGGACCTATAGCCAGTTGTTCATTGCCTGAACGTTTTTGAGAGAATATTTTAGTCACCTACCAAATGCTAGGCATTTTGCTAGGGTATTAATATATAAGAAACTCAAGAGGATACACATGTGAACAAACAGAGTGTGATATATTTTATGACACATGCATGCATAGGGCCTAAGGGAGCTCAGAGGAACGTGCCTAATCCATCTAATCTGAGGGAGAGAGGTTCAGAAAATGTAATGAGTAAGAATCAGTCAGGTGAAGTGGGATGAGGGAGGACACTTCAGGCAGCAGGAACAGCATGGGCCAATGATGAAGGCAAGAAAGAGCATGGCAGGCTCCCGGAAGGCTAAACAGCAGCAAAGTATGACAGGTTTATAGGATGCATGTAGGGGAAGAGTGGGAAATGAAGTTAAAGAGTGTAGCAGGTCACTAGGGTCTTTTAAGGTCCCTGCTAGGAAGGGAAAATACAGCCACTGAAAGGTGGAGAGCCCCACTGCAGTGTGAGAAGCCAAGCAGATAGGTCAAATGAGACAATGCTGCTATTGTTTACTAGTTAAACTAAACTAGTAGCAAGAGGACAGAAAGGTAAAGAAATTCAATAGGGTTTGTCAACTACTTTGGATGTAGAGGATTAAGAAAGAAGGAGGCATGCTAAAGCAGACCATCTCCGTGAGGTTCTCAATGACATTAACTAAGTAGTGGAATGTTTTCCTATCATCTGTTACACTGTTCACATATTTAAGATCTACATTTAGATCTCAGCCAGCAGTCTGAACACAAACAAAACCTTCAGGCTACATAATACATGGAAAAGGCCTAAGTTTTAAAGACTGCAAGACATTGGTTTGAATGCAGATTCTACCACTTTCTAGCCATGTGGTCTTCACCAATTAACTTAGCTTATATGGCCTCATTTTCCCTATCTGTATAATGAAAATAATTCCTTTCTTATAGGTTTTATCTATGTGTAAAGATTAAAGACAATAACTGGAGAGCACATAATACCTGGCATACAGTAGGTATACGAAGCATATATTTTCTCTTTTCTAAGAAACATTAAATCCTAGAAGTATAAAATACAAATCATCATTTAAACATCATAAACATTATATATAGCATAATGGCATATGGATGGATCTGGATATGACACATTGTAAACAAAAAGCAACTGATGGCTTCAAAGCTGTTGTAAGGGCAGGTAACTTATGATTGGCAGCTCTAAATAAAAATAGTCACTTCCGTTTAGGCTTTTTAGAATAGCAAACTAATCATTTGAATTTCCAGAAATAATTGTTTGAAAACCTTTTTAGATCTAGCATTCACTAATGAAGGATGGTTTGTACCAGAGAAGGCCCAGATTACATTTTTATCATCTCAGCACTCCCTGCTGAGAGTGCTGGGTCAGCCTCTTTGTTCATGTTCAAAACTCTACCAGGCTCATTGAGAACACAGGCTTTCTCAAAACCATTTGCTTGTCAGAGTTTCTAAGAAGAAAACAATTTCCAAAAGGTTCCCAAAAATACAACTGGTATAATCTACAAAGAGGTGGAATGCAGCTCAGCCAAAGAAAAAAAGTTCAAATAAAGAGCCAGCAAAGAGTGGTAACTTTCTTCACAGGAGCTGCAGAAGCAGAGGCTGAAGTTCTCCCATTCTGAATGCCAGAGGGATGGGAGGTGGCTCAATCTCTTCTTCTCTGCTAAATAGGGATAGAGAGCCCTTCCCAAAGGCCCTTCCGACCACAAAATACTTTAAAGACACTATCACATTATGTTAAACCAAATCACATTATATCAGGAGAGAGAAAAAGAAAAGAGAAAGAAAAAGTATTAAATTCTCATCCCAATGATACAAATCAATACAAGTAAAATTTTCTCTTAATTATCCTTAGGCATTTGTCATTTGTAATTATAATTATTTTTGATCCCACTTCATTGGCTTTAGAATAGGTAGGTCTCTGTCACATAAAAATTCCTCTGGCTCTAAAATTTCCTCGTCTGTATTTTTCTCCCAATCCCAACCCCCATCCTAAATCCCCACCAGCCCCCTTCCATACAGTCATGTTGGCTAGGATCTTACTCAAATAGAAACACTTTTCCCAGTAATAGAACATTTGATGGAAGAAACATCCACTAGATTTATAAAGCCCAAGCCAAGCTCTCTGGAATGACTTTTGTACAGTGAAAGAATTCACACCATAGTCTAAGGCATTGACAAAAGGTTTAACTATGTGATGTCCCAGTCCAAAACCTTGACCTCCACTTCAGGGAAGACCTCTGCTTATTTTAGCTTTACAGTCATATTAGCCAGATGTCAAACCAAGAAAATAGCCACTCCAAGAGAAGGCCTTTGTTAAAACTGACACTGAATAGCCAGGAAAACTAATGGACACCAGGCGTGATGGGCCCTCTTGGATGCTCCGGCAGTCCTTGCGTGAGGGTGATAAACATGGCAGTGTGAGCGGAACTAACCGTGGATGTCGGGCGCCATGGGGTCATGGGGATAGTCTTCACTCTTCATGAACAGCAGGAGCTCCTCTCCCGGTGCAATGTCTGCGACTACTCTATAAAATATCTTCAAAAGACAAAAAAAAGGGGGGGGGTGATGAAAGAGAGAGAGAAGTGAATATTAAGAAAGGGCTCGATATCCGTTAAGATATCTGTACATTTTCTCATACCTTGACAAAAATATTCCTTTTAATTTTTTGAAAGAAGTGTGTGACTTCCTGTGTTATATACTGAAAAGTAGCTCTCTGATGACAAATGGAAAGCTGTAACTTTCATGCCAATTCACAAATCTTTTCCAAATCCTACTTCACAAATCATATTTTCTTAATGCAAGGTTTGATTTGTCACATATACCCTGTGTAATGTTGAACAAAGAACTTTCCCTTCTCTGAATTCCTCACTCTGGTGAACCACACACATACTCAGAGAGCTTAGTGTGTGTTGCATGATCTGGCAGTGGTCTAGTTAAGGGTGGCAGAGGCACAGCTACCCACTTTGAGCATGCTCTCTCTCAAAAGTAGCACCTTCTCAACAAGGCGCTTTTAAGCTAATAGTTTGGAAGGACATGACATAAAGAATTATAACAGCAAGATTTGTAGAGAACATAGTCAAAAGAAAGTATTTTGTGTTTCAAAACTTAATCCTTCTCTCACCAATCAGGACCTGCTCTCATGCCCTGGTCTTGATCTCACGCTTTGAAAACAGGTATTATGCCTTCAACTGACTCACTCACCTCACTGAGGTTTGGGGTGGTGCTTATTCCCCTTACTTTCTAGCAAAATGATGAAGAGAGGAAGGATTTCCTAAATCCATTAGTGACTGACTAATGAGCAGTGGGGCAAGTGTGAAAGGAACCCTGACCTCTAGTTTCTGAGAGCTGCCTAACTTTCCTCTAATTAGCTCTGTGACTTTAAGCAAGTCATTGACCAATTTACTTGTCCAAGGTTCAGGATTTTTTTCCATCTATAAAAGCATTTAATTTACAATACATACAAATATAGAATCATTATGTTATACAGCTGAATTTAAGATATTATTATGTATCAATTATATCTCAATGAACAAACATTTCATCGTGAAAATATTTAAGGTGCTTATTCATTTTACTGTAAATATGTTCTTAGTTTTTAATTTATTCTGATTGTTTATTATTAATAATTCTGTAACTAGATAGAGGTATAAAAGAATGAAGTTATACAATTAACTGGTGAAAAGGAGACCAATTTACATTTACACACACACAGACACACAACATACCACCAAAAACAACAATGACAATTACAAAATAAGGATTCAGTTCTGCTCAATCCCAATCCAATAGGGAGAAAAATCACATAACACAAGTTGAACCCTACTAAGAAAGGGGAGCGTTGCTCTAACTATGATTTCTTGCAGGATTATTTGATATTTTGAACTGAGAAGAGTTGAATAAATTAATGTCTTATGAGATCAAAAGAAATATGCATAACTTTAGTTGTATTTATCTATTTGTTTATCTTTTGAGAAGCATAGGACATTAAACATAAGTACGTGCCTTTTTATTCCAGTAGGTGGCTCTAAAGTCCAATTGTTTATTTTTCTATAAAAAGACCAGAGCACAAAATTGTGCTAAATTCAAAAACATAACTCAAGTAGGAGCATTTTCTGCTTGGTTTCTTTCCTATTGAAATAAAATCTTTTTTTTTTTTTTCATTCAACAGTAATTTAACCATGTGAAGTTGGTTTATAGAAAATAATGTCAAACATAAAATGTTGCTATAATATGTTATAATATAACCTAATATTTTTATATCAATCCATGGATAGAATCCAGACTATCTTAGGAAAATTACTCCTTGCTAAGTGATCTTTCTACAAAAACCAGTGAATTTACAGTTTGCATTTTATTTAACCTTAAGCCTCATATTTTCCCTTCTTTGAAAGTACACTGAGAGGAATAGTTCTGCTCAAAAACCTACCAGATTAAACAAAATTAGTGTTTTTTTCTCCCAAAACTTCCAGTTAAATGCTCATAAGTACCCTGTTTCATTCTGGAGTTCTATTTCCCCTTAGAAAACAATGGACTTCTCTCAACAGTTTGAATCACCTCTTTTTTTGGCATCTCTTAAAGGTTTAACTTATTAGCTTCCTTTCCAACAACATGTTGACATTTGAATTGTGACATATTAGAACTTTTCAGTGGCTTCTCGGAAATAGTGAGGTTAAAGAGACAATACTCTGCAAGACCGTAAAACATTGTAGTTGTCTCTGTTGGGGAATACTGCTCAGACACACATGCCAGATCTTTAAGAAAGCATTATGGTATCACTATTTCTTTGTAGTTCGCTATTAATCATGTCTCTTTTAATTCCATTTTAGATTTACTCAATCCAATGTGAACAGTCCAAGAAACAAAAGGAAAATGATGGATACATTATAACTATATATTATAAAGACAATTCTCTTTGCAGAGACATAGATCACTGCTGTAATTTCTCTTTAAGTGTCCAGATTGTCATGTGAAGAATATTGAGTATATAAAAAGTAAAAGACATGGAAGAGTGTTGATGTTGGCTTTATTTACTGGAGGTAAAGGGTGACATTCCAGGTCGTGAACGGCACAGCAAAGTAGAGTGAGTTTTAACTTCAGGGTGTTCTTTTTGATTTTAAGTGAATTTTTATGGTGCTCATGAAACTGAGGTTTGAAAAGAACTGGCAAGCTCTGGACGTAATGAGGGCAGATTCTGGGCCTCCTTCCTCCTATGGCAATAGGAATGTGCCTTGAAGTCCCATCTACCACACCCTTACAAATCTAGTGTTTTTTTCAAGGTGTTGTCACCACTTGAGATCTTCATTATATCTCATCTCTTAGGATCTTAGAGAGACGTAAGTAAAAGTATGGTTTTCTTTCTATTAACACAGTGACCCCAGAGTATAATCTGAATGCTTGAACCCAGAGATACCTACATATAAAGTTAGTTTATGTTCTAGCAATAATAATGCACCAGCAGGAGTCTGAGAAGTAAGAGGAGTAGTTTAAATGAAAATATGACAGTTTGTTGCCTCAAAACAATTATGTGGGGGAATGATGGAATATAACCTTGGAGAAACCAAGCTTTTCAGAAAATAAGATATCACATCTATGCTTATATGTTATAAAATAGGTGTTTCGGTAAATAAAAATATAATAAAGAACAGAAGGGATTTATGTAGCTTTTCCTGGAGGTTTGTATATTAAGTAGGCTTGACCATGCTTATAAAAATAAAATCATAATGTCTTTAAAATCAGTGTATTCTCAAAAACTCGGCTATATTGCAGAGCTGTGAATTATATGTCATCTGACTTGTGTACCAGAAGCAGAGACACAACTAATACAACCTCTCTGATTTTTGTGTTTGAGAAAAATGGGAGTCATTTAGTCCATTAAATTCAATGAAAGAGTTAACAGGGTTCCTCTCTCAGCAGGAGGTTTTATGGAAAAAGTTACCTAGGTCCAAAATAAAAATGTCCTGGATCTGAGATTTTGAAATGAAGTCAACTCAAGAATAAAAGGGGCTCAGAAGTCTCAAACACTTGGAAAAAAGTTTGAACTGATTCAAAAAGGTTGTTGATTTATTTTTGCTGTGTCTCCTTCATAATGCTCTATTGGAAAGAAAAAACTGTATTCCTCCCTATATGACATGAAAGATAAGAGAAATGAGGAATTATAGTGAGAAAATAAGATTATATGGGAATTCCATTTTTTAAAAAGGCATGATAAAATATTTTAAATGTTTTAAACATAAAATGTTTTAACTCATCTAGAGTTTTCTATTTGGTAGCCAATATACCAATTTCCAGAAACACAATAAGTTATGAACACAACCTAATTCTCTATGCATTTGAAACTTTTGAAAGTTGAAGTGGCCTTTTTATTTTGTCATAGAAAAAAGTTAATATTCCTTATATCCTGTTTTTTATTTTTTCAGAAAGCTATATTTTTGTCTTTGTAAGTATGGATATTACATTTGCATCTCTGAATACTTAAATTTATAAGAATAAATATTTATAGTAAATATCTTAATAGATCTTTTTATATTCTTTTCTTTTTAAATTTGCTGAACTAGAATACTAGGAAAATTTCTTAATATTTTTAAAATTCTGAATCACTCAAATATTTGAAAAGAAAACTAGAAATCTCCTAAATTGTTCACTTTTACTACTGGTGAAATTCACAATTTAAGGCGTATATATAAATATATATATATGAATTACTCTAAACATAGCTACTAAACTTAATTAAATCTTAAAAGCAATTCCAAATGCCAAAAGAATATCCATTCAGTTAATATTCACAAGGCTAGGCTAGAGATAAAAGGCAGTGGTGATGTGAATTTGATTTAGCAAATTTTAAATTTCCAAAAAGTATATTTGCATACATTGTTATGTATAAGTATATATGTGCTTAGGTATGTTATATATTCCATATGTGACATATAAATGCCGTGAAGTATACATTTGGGGGAAATTTTAAAATTTGCATAAAATATTAGCAATCTCATATTTTCAATATTAATATAAATGAATATTTACAGGCACAAAATTGATTACATTATTATGATTACATAATTATATATAATATATAGAATGTGATATATATTATATATAATTATATGTTATGTACAATTGGAATTGGAATTAAACATATTTTACTAAATATTCATTTTCTTTTATTATTTAAGTGTAAGAGGATAGCCACTAAGGAAAGTATGGACACTTATAAGCATTCTGATAGGAAAGTTAATAGGCTATAAAAGACTTTCAGATTCTGCTTTATACTGTCAGAGCCTTTGTTCAACCTAATCCTCCATTGAATTGATGATGCTACTATTTGTATTTATAAATGGTAATAATGTGGGTTCTTGTTTATTATCCTATAAAATAGAAAAATCTAGAATCTGTCAGACTAGCCTTGCTGTCTAGTTTGCTATGCTTGGATCGATTTAAAGTATTATGTTTGTACAATTGAGACAGAAGAAAAATTCAGTGCACAAGAGGGAAAACAAGAAAAAAAGAAAACACATCATTTACTTTTAAAAAGATGAACA